TTGAAGATAGCAATAACACCTGTCCTAGGCCCATTCCACTGCTACCCACTCCAACACCTACCCTCCGGACGCACTTGTGTGGCTGACATCATCACAACGGTGTTTACAATGACCTTGAGAGACGGCGGACTAGGAAATGGTTACAATTGGGCTGAGACAGTCATTTATCTCTGGAAATTGGGACAATCAACCAATCACAGTGACAATCTAAGCACCTACTTTCGCCTCTCTGAGCTACTATTTCCTCCTATGCCCTTCGTCTCACCTTCAACTTTACTCATTTCATCACATCTACTCCTACTTCTTTTTTGCTGCAACCTTTCTCACCTGGACAGGCGATGAGACTTCAAGGCATCGCACAACACTTTAGCCCGAGGATACACAAAATCGTTCCTCATTCGATAAGTTGTGCGTGTCTCGTAAGTCATTGTAACTGCGGCACCTAACCCGAGACACGTGCAGTAGCGATACCAGCTAAAAGTTGTTCCAAATTGCAAGTATTCGTCAAGCAAACAAGTAAATGGGGCTTTTCTTCGAATTGTATGTTTGCCCCTAACCACAGACCTTTGTTTAAATACATCTGAGCCTCCTCCCAAAACTCCACACCATACAGACGCCTTCACTTGGGATTAAGATTAACGAATGCCCTTTCACACTTGTACAAGTCGGTAAGCTTCTTGGGGCAGAGCTCCAACGTGGATAAAGTGGTGCGCTATTCAGCTTTTAAAAGTTGTGTAATTTTTGGTGGTGGAGGAAGGCAGTTTTGTATATAGCAAAGTGGGTTTGATAAGTCGGTTCGGTCCGAGCGCCATTAAGGTTTTCCATTCACTTTCAACCCACTCTACTGGCGATAGATGCCCTCAAGTAAATTAGTCTAAACTCGAGGAATGGCGCTATTCAATCACTGTAACTAGCTCCGGTAGCAGATCAGTAGGATTTCGAGCGAATCACTGCAACCGCTAAGTTCCAGACACACTTCATCCTCAACAATGATGCTTTTACCCGTGATAGGTGGTCGAAAATGTCAAGAATATTGTTTCAGGTTTCCACATCGAGGACCCCACTCGCTGGACACCTTGATTCGTTGAAGTATTCTTTCATTTTATTACCAACGTCTTTAACGATTTTGCCGACAATAGTTCGCCAAACCGAGAAAACTGTGGTCCTCTGTTTAACCAAATCTTCACTTGTTCTGAACGGCTCTCCGTAATCGTCATTCTCTGGGCGGAGACCGTGTGGCCCAAAAAGGGGACAGACCTTTGAGGAAAACAACATTTCTTCGGCTTCAACGCTAAATGGCTTCTCATAAGCGATCCATCACTGCTCGAAGGTTGAAGTTGTGCTGTTGGATATCCCTACCAAAGGCGAGGATGTCATCAGTGTGGACAAGGCAGTGTTTTGGGGAGAGGAAGCCCAAAGCTGTATACACTGGTAGCTTAAAAGTGACCGCACCTTTGCAGAGTACAAATGGCATTGCTTGACGATCGTAGAGACTGTCTGAAACAATGAACGCCATTTTCCTTTGCCCATTTTCCTCCTCTACCTCCTCTTGGCAATAGCCAGACTTTAAGTCCAACATCGACAATCACGTAACTCCTTGTGGTGAGTCGAATGAGCTATCAGTGCGGGGCAAAGGGAATGCGACTACCGTCTTTATCGCATTCAGCCTTTGATAATCGACACACAGATGTGGACTCTTTTTTACTAATGCGATGAAGCAGGCCCAGGGTGAAGTGGAGGGTTAAGTGACGTCGTGGCGAGGCA